CACCCCTGCCGCCCCCCACAGCCCCTGGTTCAGTGGCTGCTATTGCTCATGGAGAGCCCAGGCTGCATCGCTTGAGGAAACATCTCAGCTTTGTGGAAGGGTGGCATGTAGACGGGCGGGGAGGGCGCCAGGCTGTAGCCCTGGGACGTCACCGGGATGGGCAGGCCGGTGGGCACCAGGGACTGGTTCATGTCGTACATCACTCCCTCCGCCTCGTTGCCGAAGGGCAGCAGCAGCCGTTTGCCTTTCTGACGCCGGTTGCAGAACCAGACCCGGACCACCTGCAATGGAGGGGAGACAGGGAAGAGTGAGGGGGCGAGCCAAGGCAATGTGCGGGTGACAAGGAGATCCTTCTGCTGGTGACATCTGCACAGCACCCTGACCCACCAGCACAGCACTCTTCCCCGCCACAGCTCCTCCGGGGGCTGGGCTCAGACAGGCTGATGGTGGCTATCAGCCCTTGCCACTCTCCCACAGCTCCCAGTATTGAACTGGCCTAAGGTGGGTTCTCAGACACTGCAGCCGTTTGGGCACCCACCCTGCAAACCCTCCCAACGTACATCTTTGTCCAGGTTGAGGTCCTCGGCAATCTGGGAGATTTCCTGGGGACTGGGCTTCACGCACTTGCGGAAGAAGCTCTCCAGCGTCCCCTTCACGTTGGTCTCGATGCTGGTCCTGCGTTTTCTCTTCCGGGCTTGGGCCAACACTTGCTCTGCATTGCACATCTGGAAGCACAAGAGAGGCCACATGCTTGGTCATAGGGCTGGCAATGCCCCACCAGGCTCTGGACACACGTGTGACCAGATGCAGAGGTCTGGGAGGGATGGGGACAGGCTTTGCTCCCGTGACTGTCCACTGTCACCCCACTGCAACTGGGGCCATTCCCAGTGTCCCAGCAGTGTCTGTAGTTGGGGGGGGATCTCCCAGCATCCCTCCAGTCTCCCCAGTGAGTAGCAAGCTGCACCTACCTCCACCTCACGTGAGACTCCAGGAGGACCTGGCTGCTCTGAGACAGGAGCTGCCACAGGTGTCACAGGGTGCCTGTGGGGGAATTTGGGCTCCCCCAGCCTGGCAGAAGGCGATACCCAGTGGTTCCCCCCACAACCAGATTGAAGCCATGGCAGCAGGATGCTGCTATGGCATAGAACACCTGCTGCTCCCTTTTTGCCTCCCAAAAAGCACGTGTAAAAGGGAGAAGTTGCAGGTTTATGGCTTGGTGGTGTGCAGTGCCCCCGACTCCTGGCCCTCCCCAGCCCTGTACCTCTTGCATGTTGTCGGTGTTCTCCGCCTCGTTGAGCCAACGCTGCAGTAGCGGCTTCAGCTTGCACATATTCTTGAAGCTGAGCTGGAGCGCTTCAAAGCGGCAGATGGTCGTCTGGCTGAACATCTTCCCTGTGCGGGCAGGCAGGGCATCACACACCGCTCCTGCCCCCATGCCGGGGTATGGCCCCCCTCCCCTGCCAGGATCCCCCCAGGATCCTCCCCCTCTAGCATCCCCTGTCCCTGGGGATGGGGGATCAGGAAAGGCATTTAAAGCACCAAAACACTCTTCAATAAGAAGCTGTAGCTATTTCAAACCAGTTTGTTATCAAACCCTTCCAGCTTAAGCGAGTACTTAACAGGGCTGGGAAGCCCCAGGAGCCCTGAGGCTGGTCCTCACCGCCTCCTTTGCAGGTCGTTAAGGAGCACAAATCTCGATTGCCCGGGTGCTCCATCCCCCTCACAGGCTTCTCCCTTCCCCCCAGGTGTGGGGGGAGAGACGGGAACCCCTAGGGCATGGGGGGTGGACGGGACGACGGGGACCCTCACTGGCCCCTTACCGTAGAGGGTGCCCAGAGCCAGCCCCACGTCAGCCTGGGTGAAGCCCAGCATGATGCGCTTATGCTTGAGGTCCTTGGCAAACTGCTCCAGCTCTTCC